AGTGGATTGGGAGACCTGCCCTCCCAAGCCCGCCAGGACTCATAGGTCCACTGTGTGGCCCTCCACGGAGCCGTGGCCCGGAAGTCGGACCAGCTGTTTGCTCCAGCCAAAGTGGCCTTGCACAGAGCACAGCACTGGCTGGCATTGTGAGAGGGGAGCTGCAAGATTGTCGCCAGGTAGTCTAAGTCGCCGATCACCGACCACAGGACAGCAAACCACCCATCTGCCAAAGGTCTGCCGGCCAGATGTCGTTCCAAGGAGCCGGCTGGGAACCTTCAACATTCTTGTCACCACCACTGGTACTGCTACTGCTACTGCTAGTGCTATTGCTAGTGGTGGTGGTACTGCTACTACTGCTGCTGCTACTGCTACTTGAAGTTCTTCTGAAGTTTGTGTTGTTAATAATGGTGTCACAACGAGTGCGATTATTGTGAGGAACAAGAAGAAGAACAAACAACAATGCACAAACATGGCCGGAGCACGGCTCGCCACTGGCATCCACATCGGGCCACCGCCCAAGCCAGAGCCAGTAGAGGCTGTACCTCAGCACCTTGAAGAACTGGCCCAGTGTGCTGTTTGGGCCATTTTTGACACCAACCTTCTCGAACAGCCCCCAAATCCAGAACTGGCTGTTCTTGGTGGAGCCAAGCCCTGTCAGCGAGCTGTAGGAGAAGTTTACCATCTTCCGGCCCCAGACCTTTCCGAGGCCTGCTACTGGCACTTCATCGCCATGCAGTGACAAGGCGATGCATTTGCTGGTGCTTCGCTCACCGGCTTCCTCTTGCAAGCGAAGAGGATGATTCACCCATGCTGGGTGAGGAGGGTCGGCTTTCACAGCTGCCCAGAATTGCTCCAATCTTTCGGGTGTGCCGTGGACAACTTTCTGCCACATGTGCTTCTCGTTGTGATACATATGTGCAAACAAAACGTGTGGTAACATGACCAGCTGCTTGAAGTCGGCCTGTCGAGGCTTCAGGAAGCTGAAGTGGTGCACAGAGCAGGCCGGGAGCTTCACCATAGCCTCGGCCTTTGCCATCAACTCGCCATAAATCTTGTTCGGGTACTGGCCAGATGATCCCAGCTTGCCCAACACGTCCAGCTCCGGCACAAAAAGAGCAGGGGGAGTTTCAGCCACCTCATCATCCTCCTCGTCACGATGACCACGTTTTCTGGCAGCAGAAGACAAAGCTGCCAGCACATCTCGGCAGGCCGCCTTGGCCAACTCTTGCACCGTCTGGGGCCAAAACGGGTCAACAACCTCAGTGCCAGTTGGCTTTGTACACCAGCACCCTCGCTCCTGTCACCACTACTGCTGCCAGCAGGAGGATGATTGTCATCATCGTCACTGTTGCCAGCATTTTCACGTCCTCGCCGGCTTAATCGCTGCCGGATTCCACCAGGTCTTCTTCTTCGGGCCCCAGCCCTTGCTCTGGCCATGGTGGGAAGCCATCATCATGGCAGCACAGAACAACAAGCAAGCAGAACACGAGGCAGGTACTACAGGCAGCTGGCCTTCTTGTTGTGGACACGCTTTTTCCTGCTAGCTAACCTACTACTAGCTTCAGAAAAAAGCTTACTTAATAAACCCTAGTAACAACATGTGCAGGAGAACCACCACTATGAGAGTGACCTTGAGGGGACCTTGAGTGTGATGACCTCGGGTTAAATAAGGTATAGGGTTGAAGGTCTAGGGGTCAGAGTTAGGGTTTATTAGGGTTTGAGTAGAATAGGTCTCATTGTTTGTTTTTCTGTGATCTGCAGTAATAATAATAAGAATAAGTACAGGAGAGCCACCGCTATGAGAGTGACCTTGAGGGGACCGTGAGTGTGACCTCGGGTTTAATAAGGTTAGGGTTGAGGGTCTAGGGCTCAGAGTGTAGGGTTTATTAGGGTTACGAGACCTGGGGGAGTGCTCTTACCTGGAGAATTGGCATGTTGTTCACCTGTGGTCCGGGGATGGCCACAGTACTGCAGCATCACATCTGCTCTTTTGTCAGGGTGTCTGCTCTTCTTCTCTCAAGGTGTCTGCTGATCTCTCAGGGTGTCTGCTCTTCTCTCAAGGTGTCTGCTCTTCCCTCAAGGTGTTGTCTGTTTTCTGTTTTAAGGGTGTCTGCTTTTCTCTCAAGGTGTCTGCTCATCTCTCAGGGTGTCTGCTCTTCTGTCAAGGTGTATTATTATGCTCCTCTCTCAAGGTGTTGTCTGTTCTTTGTCTGTTTTATTGTTTTAAGGGTGTCTGCTTTTCTCTCAAGGTGTCTGCTCATCTCTCAGGGTGTCTGCTCTTCTGTCAAGGTGTATTATGCTCCTCTCTCAAGGTGGTGTCTGTTCTTTGTTTGTTTTATTGTTTTAAGGGTGTCTGCTTTTCTCTCAAGGTGTCTGCTCTTCTCTCAGAGTGTCTGCCTTCTATCTGATTTTTTTTCTGAACTGACCAGCATGAATGACACATGTTGAGGTCTTCATCTTGTTGTGGCGAACAACAGCGACAAAAACGAGGGTAATAAGAAGTGGGCGCAATTATTGCCCGAAAGCTCGAAAGCTGTTGCCTTCTTTGCAGGGGTGGCTGATGATGATGGTGTCGAATGATGGTGCTTTGGTTGGTCAATCCCTTTACATTTGTACTTATCACCAACATCATTCTGACTCTCATCAACTACCCAATACAAGCTTAAAATGGTGAGTGCATCTACTATTTGTCTACATATCACATATATGTATATGTATGTAGATTGATATGTATACATATATTTTTTGGTACCTTTCTGAAGCCCTGATCCCCTAAACCCGTCCAAAAACACCCCTAATAAACTCCCTAAACCCTTAAACCCTAATAAGCCCCAAACCCTCTAATAATTCTCACACATAATACCACACACGGTGTTGTTTTGCTGCGACAGAGGCAACAAGCACGAGTGGTGTAGCGGGTCGTCGTCATCATGCTTCGACAGATGATGCACAAAAGGAGCAACACTGCACGGCCTCCTGAGGATTCGCGATGCTCGTGATACAACAGGATATCCCAATAATCATTCTTGATTATTACTACTACTACCACTCCTCTACACGACAACCTCTGCACGTTGTTCTTGCTCGAAACTGGGACCCAGTCGTAGTAGTACTTGTTCTTACGATGGGATACTTTCACAGTAGTAGTTCTGGTGCCGAGGAGGCCGGTAGTACTAGTATCCTGAACCCTAAACCCTAAACCCTAAACCCTAAACCCTAAACCCTAAACCCTAAACCAGTAGTGGTGCCGAGGAGGAGGCCGTGCTGTTGCTGGCAAGCAAGCCGGAAATGCAAAAACCGAGCACGGATGATGGATCTAAGTGTTGTAGCCCTAAACAGCTCCTGGCCGAGAGCACCAGCACCATCCAAGAAGCTCCGATGCACTCGTCGTAGTCGTTCAGCTGGCCTTTGCACGAAGTCGGGCCTTGGCAACCTCAACCTCCTCGTTGAAGGCCTTGGTGTCGGTGGCCACTGCGACCATGAAGGCATCGAAGGTGGCCTTGCTGAGTGTTTGGCCGCCATCCGGGTGCTCTTTGAAATGCAGCATGTGCTTCATGTCGGCAACATGCTTGGTGCTGGCGATGTAGTTCTTCTTCAGGGCAGCGAAGTTGTCAGGGGAGCTGCTCTCCAGCCTTCGTTGCGACTCATGATGAGGGCACAAAAAAAAGGTTTAGGGCTCGGTTTTTTTTGGATTCTTCATGAAGAAAAAGCCTACCTGGAGAGTGACCTGGAGAGTGGACCTTGAGTGCGACCTCGGGTTTATTAGGCTTTGGGGTTTTGGGTTTTGGGTTTAAGGTTTAAGGCTTCTCATGAAACCCAGAAGTTTCTCGTGACCTGGAGAGTGGACCTTGAGTGCGACCTCGGGTTTATTAGGCTTTGGGGTTTTGGGTTTTGGGTTTAAGGTTTAAGGCCTCTCATGAAACCCAGAAGATTTCGTGACCTGGAGAGTGGACCTTGAGTGCGACCTCGGGTTTATTAGGCTTTGGGGTTTTGGGTTTAAGGTTTAAGGCTTCTCATGAAACCCAGAAGTTTCTGAGAGTGACCTGGACAGTGACCTTGAGGGACCTTCTTCTGTGTGACCTCGGGTTTGTTAGGTTTGGTGTTTATTAGGGCTTAAGGTGTAAGGTTTCGGCCATCAAGCCCAGAAACTTGGGCATCAGCTTCAAGGCCTCGGTGTTGAGCTTTGTGTTGGCATCGACTGCCTGGTTCAACAGGCCCACCATCGATGCCGGCATCTTCGCCCCAGGCTCGATCTTCTCGTGGCCCTTGTACTGGAAAGTCCAACCCAGGGCCAGGATCATGTCGCCGAGGCTGTGGGCCTGCTCCTTTGTCGCCGTCTTTTTCTTCTCCAGGTTCTGCCGGTGAGTGGTGCCATGCTCAGTGCCCACGGTGATCTTCCGGAAGGAGTAGTACTTGGTGCCGGGATCCTTCCCAGAGGGGTCTGCCACCTCTGTGATGTCTCCCGCCTCGATCGCCTGTTGCATCGCCGTCTCGCAATTGGCGAAGAACATGCCTCTCATCACTAGGCGAGGGTAGGCTGTGGAAGTGTCCCGGCCGAACTTCCGCTCGTAGACCTCTTTGGATTCGACAAACAGTGGTTTGGAATCGTCTAACTCGTAGCGACCGTTGGATCTCTTGATAAATAATGAGTTTATGATACTTGTTCGAAACTCCCTAGGGGAGGACTTCGACTTCGCCACCACGTTGTAGAGGTGCTCAATGTGGGGCGGCAGGGCATTCGCCTTGAGCATCGCAGCGAATTTCTCACCCTTTCCCTTGTCGCGGCGAACGATGCAACCACCACCATCGTTGTCGCCGCCCTCATCATCGTCGTGGGCCTCCCCATGTTTTGTCTCACCAACAGCATCCTCCACAGCCCGCTGCAAGCTGCTGGCTGTCGAAGCAGCACCAGCCGGCTTCTTCTTCGAACCATTCTTGCTCGCTTTCTTCTTGGTGCCGGAGTCGCCGGAAATCTCAGCAGCAGCAGCCGGCCGCTTCATCTTGGAAAAGGAAGGCATGGTCTTCTCGTGTAGTAGCTGCCCGTCGTCGTTGCACAAGCAGCTGGCCCCACTACCCTAAAGCTTCAAACACAGCAGCTCTCAAAGGTGTTGTTGCACGTTGGCTTGGCCGTTGCACAACAGTAGCAGCTCTAAGTTCATCCGGAGCAAGAACGAAACTCATGATTCGACTACATACGTCATACGACCCCATGATACAAGCCGAAGTTTACACGAACTTTCGTCGAAATTTCGAGTTGCACAATTCGAAGTTTAACCGAAGTTTCTTCGAAATTTCGAGTTATATATGTCGGAGTTTTATCGAAGTTTAAGAGGCTGCAACTCGAAATTTCGACTTTGTTAAGTCGAAGTTTTCTGCTTATGTATCGAGTTTTACATGGTTTACACCCTGAAACTTCGACTTTTCTAATTTGAAACTTCGACTTTAAAGTCGAAGTTTCGCAAACGTCGGAAGTCGAAATTTCGTCGAAACTCCGGATAAACTTCGACTTATGCTGTCTCGCTCATGGTTTTGTCCTCAGGGTCTGAGCTGTGCACAATCAGAGAGATAAGCAAAATCGTGCTGGCACATCATGACTAGGTCGGTCGCCCAGGCTGCTTTCAGCACTCGACGACGGGGTCCTCGGACATCGGTCGCTCCTCTTCGGCCTGCTCGTCCTCCATGCTTGTTTTGGTAGCCACCACCACCGGCTCACATGTAGAAGAGGAGGCTGTCTTGTTGGCACCATGAATCTTCCCGGTCTTGCCCGTGGCCTGCTTCTTTTCGTCCTTCTTCTTTGTGTCGGCGCTAAAGGCTGCTGCAGGTCGTTTCTTGCTTCCCGACGATGAAGATCTGGGATTCGCCTCGTCGAACTCAAGCCCAGCAAGTCGGTATGCTCGTCTGGCAGCAACAAGGGCCTCCTGCATCTTCTTCCTGTACCCTTTCTCTTTCTTCCGGGGCTTCATCTTCTTGAATGTGGAGTGGTAGGCCTTGCTCACGAATCTCTTCCGAAGCACCGTTCTTTCCGACGGATTGGCCTAAGTACTCAAGGGTGTTTCTTGTGGACAGGCAAGAGATGATACACTCAACTCTCGCATTGCTCTCAAAGTTCTTCTCAAGGCTCAAAGTTTGTGGCTCAAACTAATAAAGGCCCAGATGCCTTCTTCTTGCTCTTCTTCTTCTTCTGGGCAACTTCATCGATCTCACTGGCAGCAGGAGTCGGGTCCTTCAAAGCACTTCTATGGGTTTAGGGTTTAGGGTTGAAGGTTTAGGGTTTAGGCCTTAGAGGTTAGGGCCGTGTAGGGCTTGGGGTTAGGGCAGGGTTTCCTGCTTTTTGACACAACCAGAACAACAACAACAGATACTCTGTCTGCTCCTTCTTCTTCTCATCCTTCTGCAAAGAAGAGGAGGATGGGGTCTCGTCCTGGTACTACAAGTAGTAGTAGCAGTAGTAGTAGTAGTAGTAGTAGTGGTACTACTAGTCGTCGTCGCAGTCGTAACATCTGTCTGGTCCTTCTTCGTGCTCTGCTTCTTCTTGCTGGCCTGCTTCTCCTTGACGAGGGTCTCCTGGTCCTGATGATGAATAGCAGCAGCAGCAGCAGAAGCTAGCAGGGCTTAGGGTTTAAGGGGTTTGGGGTTTTGGGTGCAGGGTTTTGGGGTTTATTAGGGTTTGGGTGTGTATTATTAGGGCAGAAAAACACCCTCCACCACTGTCCGGGCCGACACCACCATCATCATCAGGGCGAGACGACTGGGCAATGTTCTTCTTGCTGCTGTTGTCCTCCAGGTCGTTATTATTGTTATTGATAGACGATGATGTTTTAATCTGTCAAAGTGAACAGTTCTTAATATCATCAGGGCCCTCTTCTTCTGCCTCTCGCTGTTATTACAAGCACTCCCGTGACACATGAAAACATTACAGCAGCAGCAGCATGCCTTCTTGTTCTTCTTTTTCTCGGGCTGCTTCTCACGGATTCGTCTCAGCTGGAAGGCCTTCTTTGGGGGAACCGACGATCGATCATCAACAGCCTCCTTCTCGTCGACCGACTTATTCTTCTTCTCTTGCAACATCTTCTTCTTCTTCTCGGCCGGGCTGGTAGTAGTCGTCGTCTTCTTTGCATTCTTCTGCTTGGCCTCTTCTTTCTTTCTGCCAGCATTGAGCCTTTTTCGCAAGGTGTAGCCGTCGGAGTTGACAGGCCCAGCATTCGTGGCTTCTGCTACCATGTCCCGATCTTCTTGGGTGACACTCTCATACAAGGTGTCCATGAAAGAAGTCTTGCCTGGGCCCTTCTTACTGGAACTCGACCTTTCTGCTGCCTCCACATTTTTCGCCTGCTTCCGTGGTGGTGGTGTTGTCGCCTCCTCCTCCGGGGGGTCCTCCTTCTTCTTCTTGCCACGAGGAGCAGCAGCAACAGGAGGCTTCTTCCTTTTCTTCTGTTCAGGGGTGGTGGGCTCCTCCTTGTTCCCTTCTTGCCCTCATTCTTCTTGTGCCCCCGGTCAAAGATGACAAGGTTCTTGAGCAGACCCGGCGAGGTAGAGCCATCCTCATCATCAGCTTCTGACAACGATGGTGCATCGCCGGTATCATCGCCTTCCACGAATGCATTCTTTCTTTGCAGCACCATTTGAAAGATCTCGCTCGGCACGATGTCGCTGTTGTCGTGGGGTCCTGGGAACAAGTAGGCCACATCATCTCTACTACTTTGAATGTAGTAGTTACTTTCAACAAGCTACTACATGAGGAAAAATCCACATCAGCAAAACAACATGCAGCCACGTCTCTCTGCTTTGTTGGGCTGAGTCTGCCAGGAAAAATATCGCCAACCTCCGTAGCAGCACCATCACCGTTGTTGCTGCTGCTGGCCTGGGAACCAAAGCTATTCTGCCTTGACCCAGGAGGAGGGTTGTGCTCCTTCTTCTGGACGACAACAGCAGGGCCTGAAGAAATGACGATCATCCCCAGCAGGTTCTTCAAGCGATCCACCTGCTCGTTTGAAGCCTCGTTCCCAAGCAAGTTGCGAGATTTTCAAATCTCTGAGGTGTGCAAGAACCATTCTCAAGGAAACGTCCAACGTGTCGACCAGGTCGTCCAACTGATACCTCTCCAGGGGCTTGGCACTCAATCTTTCTTCATCATGAAGCCTGCGAAATGCCTCTTTGCTCTTCCGACTCGTGAGCAGTCCTGTCGGCACCGAGGCCAACAGTTTCGCAAACAGCACCTCCAGCTTCAATATCCATGCCACAGGAGTGGCACTCTTCCACCCAACCCCATGTGGTGTCTTCAAGGCAGACACCAACCCTTCCTTGCATTGCCCTCTGAAAAAGCGCAATGCTCCGGCGATGTCGCTCACCGACAGAGATGGGTCTGCACTCGACCTTGGTTTGCCGGCGAAGGTCTTGACGACGAGGCCCTGAGTGCTCCGTGCTGCTGCAACATCACCACCACCATCATTGGTAGCAACATCATCATCACCACCACCATCGTTTCTGCCACCAATCTTCTTGCCGCCACCCCCTTTCTTCGTGTTGTTTGCAGCAGCACCAGAAGCATCCTCGGACAAAGAAGGTGCATCCATGAGAGCCAGCTGTCCAAACTGCCCTCTTCGGGGCCAACCTCGAACATTCGAACATAAAATGCCATCTGCACTGCTGCTGCTGCTACTACTACTACTACTACTACTTCTTCTTCTTCTTCTTCTACGAAACGACAGAGTCTCTCACGGTTGCTCTCGTCGAGGTTGCTCTCAAGGTCATCGCAGCTGCACTACTACGAAACGACAAAGTCTCTCACAGTTGCTCTTCTCGAGGTTGTTGCTCTCATCAAGGTCAATTATTCTGTGACCACTCCAAATGTCAAGGGTTTAGGGGTCGCTGGGGCTCGAGGTTCTTCATGTCTCTTCAGATGCTCTCAACAAGGTCATCGGAGCTGCTATTGTTGTACCACTACTGCTGCAATTCTGGGTTCATCAGGGTTTTTGGATTGGGATGGAGAAGAAGGTCACCACCACTGGCCGGTCTCTTTTTCACCTCTTCGGGGCCAGAGAAAACTCATCATCAAGGATCGTCGCCTCTGATGCACAAGAGCAGGTCGGGGACGGTGAAATGTCAGCAATCTTTGTTGCCGACGACAAAGACGTAGACCGGCTCCTTTTCCTCCTTTGCTTCTTCTTCTTCATCTGCTGCTTTTTTTGGGTCTCGGCGCCACACTTCGTCGTCGTCGTGCTTTTTCTTCTTCTTCTGCTTCTTGGTCGTGACGAAGAAGCAGCCACTTCACCAAGCTGCTGCTGCTCATCAACAGGCCGAGCAAGCAGTGGCTCTAAGCTTGAAGAAGCAGATGCCCCAGCAGCAAGTTGCTGCTCTGCCTTCTCCTTCTTTTTCTGCAGTCGTCGCTGCCACGGCGGCCCATCATCTGCAGCCGGCAACAACGTGTATTCATCTACAGACACAGCAGCAGCTGCAGTGGCACCACCACCACGATCATGACCTGTGTATTCTGCCTCCTCCTCGTCTTCTTTTGCCATAGGAGGAAGAGGAGTACCACCACCATTGCTGCTGTTTGCACCAGCACCACCACCACCAGCCAAATCATCTGTGCTACTACCAGCAGCAGAAGAAACAACATTGCTGAGGTGTTTCATCCTCGGGACGGCCAGCTCTGCTCGAACAGGCTGGGAACTGCACAGTCGCTGGCCATTCAGCTTTTGCACCACATGCAAGCACAGAGCCTTGTCGCCGTAAGCCAAGAAACAAGAAGTGGTCCGCCCGGGCCAGTAGGAGCCAGATCTGCAGATTTGCACATTCAGCAAGCCCTGACCACACTGCAGCCTTGCCAGCCCCTGTCGGACCTGTGGTTGGGTCGCCAAAAAGTCGATGCCCCGGACAAAAACTCTGTGCAGAAAGTCGCCTGAGGAGCCACCGCCGCCACCACCACCATCACGAGTAGCAGCCATCGCAGTGAGGAGGGCACTTTGTTCGACAGTCCTTCTCCTATGTCCTCCTTCTG